CTGACACACCCCTCCACCCGCAGGAGAAGGAGCTCCTTGGCCCAGCCCCGCAGACCCCGCAGTGGGGACAAGAGGCCCTGGTGAGTGTCTGCCCAGATCCGAGCTCTGGCCTCCGCTGCCCCAGCCGGGCCCTGGGCTGCTGGCGCCCTCTGGGCCCCTCAGCCCTGCCCCGGGCTCCCTCAGCAGGCTGTGCCGGAGCCGCCGGGGCGTTGGGGGCAGAGAGGGCGGAGCCTGCGGCTCTGGAGGCCCCAGGAGGCCCCCAGTGTCCTCCCACCAGGAGGGCGGTCTGCTGGGAAGCGTGGCGGCGGGCGTGGCAGGGCACGGCAGAGGCAGCCCGCCCGTCCCCGGCTCCCGCTGTGCCCACACTCTGTTCCTGGGTGCACCTGCGAGACCCGCGCAGCAGCCCCTTGCCCTGACAGGTGGCTGCGCACCCAGGCCCCCACCTGCTGTCCGCCTGAGGCCAGGGCTTTCCAGAACAGCCCCGGTGCTGGCCAGAGGCCCCGGGCCTGTCGGGGCCAGTGGGTGTGGCCGGGTCACAGGGCGGAGGCCCAGCGCCGCCACCCTCACTCGGCGCTGTTCCTCAGGCCCCGTGCGGGAGCCCCGGGGGGCTGGTGCCCGAAGCCTACAGCCCAGCCAGCCGGCAGCAGGTGAGCCAGCGGGCACCGCCAGCCCCGGACTCTGCACACTGTGCCCCTCACCTTCTCCCTGGCCCCGGCCCTCCTTCGGCCACCCTGCCCCAGATCAACGGCGTGGACATGACCGAGGCCAGGCACGACCATGCTGTCTCCCTACTTACTGCTGCTTCCCCCACCATCGCCCTGCTCCTCGAGAGGGAGACTGGGGGGACCCTGCCCCCTAGCCCCCCCCCAGACTTGCCCTCACCCCCATCTGCCGCCACCACCTTCGTGGCTACTGCCACCCCTGAGGACCCCGGGCCGCTGCGGCTAACCCCCAGCCTGCTGGCCGCTGCTCTGGAGGGGCCGTACCCCGTGGAGGTGAGACCCCAGCCACACCTGGCCTCTGCCGCTCCAGGGGCCGCGGGCTGCCAGAGCCCAGGGCATGGGTGCCGCCTCCCGAGCGGCCGCCCGCACCCCAGCCTGCCCTCCCCGCAGTGGGCTGCTGCTGGGCCTGGGGGCCTCGGTGGGCTGACCGCTGCCCCGTGCTCCTCCGTGCCAGGAGATCTGCCTGCCCAGAGCCGGGGGCCCCCTGGGGCTCAGCGTCGTCGGGGGCTCCGACCACTCCAGCCACCCGTTCGGCGTCCAGGAACCCGGCGTGTTCATCTCCAAGGTAGGGAGCCCCCCGCGGCGGGGTGTGGGGGGGGGACCTGGGCCCCGGCCAACGCTCGCTCCCTTGCCCGTAGGTGCTGCCGCGGGGCTTGGCTGCTCGCAGCGGCCTGCGGGTCGGGGACCGCATCCTGGCGGTGAACGGGCAGGACGTGCGCGAGGCCACGCACCAGGACGCTGTGGGCGCCCTGCTCCGGCCCTGCGCGGAGCTCGTGCTGCTGGTGCGGCGGGACCCGCCCCCGCCCGGCCTGCGGGAGCTCTGCATCCAGAAGGCGCCCGGGGAGAAGCTGGGCATCAGCATCCGCGGGGGCGCCCGGGGCCACGCGGGGAA